CATAAACCCATCAAAGGTCTGAACACATTACACTTGTCCCAAAGGATTCTCATCTGGCACATGGGACTCACTGGTAGGGTTCAAAGTCTTTCAAACCTTTCTCTAAAGGTTGGCCCCTTGGTTAACAGGTCATGTCATTTTGTAGCCCAAGATCTTGGGTTTCTGGACAGTTCAAATCCAGCTTTTAAACCAAAAATCTTTGTTCTCTTAGACTTCTGGACCTGGTCTCAGGGCCAGCCTTAGGGAAAATGGTGCCCTAGGCAAACTTGTATTTTGGTCCCTCCCCCATCACCTTTGGCACCCACAGTCTTCCCACTTCCCCATCACCTCCTTGCCCCACTGCCTCCCCCAAATGCTTAATTTATATTGAAAGAGGTGCTAGAGCTCAGCCCCGGCACTGGTACGGTGGCCTGATAGCGGTGGCTGCTGGTCAGGCACCCAGTTCTGAAGGCAACAGCACCACCAGCAGCAGCATAGATGTAAGGGTGGCATGGTATATGGTATAATGCTACCCTGACTGCTGCTGTGAGTTAGTGTACAGCCTACTAGGCACCACACTATCACACAGGGGCTGCATCTTGCCAGAGCCCGCAGCCCCTTGGGCCACTCCTGGCTCACTGAGGTGCCATTTCTGATTTTGGGGAGTGGGGGAAACTAACTGTGATTCCAGGGGCTACTTAGATACCTGAAAACTCTAGGGTTTGGGTTTTTTTAGATAACTTAGTAATTAGCTAACAGGAGCACTGTATCTAATTCCTACATGTAAACAGGGTCTGAATGAACTCTCCCCTGACAGCTAGCTGAGAGGGGGAGAGACTTCAGGAGCAAACTGTATTTACATGAACACACCTACCCTGCGTAAATATCTAGCAGACAGAGCTGTGTATCTCCAAATGATCAACTGTGGCTGGTGCTGGGTTACAAATCACTTTTGTACTGAATGCAGGGGTAGTGAAATACTGTTATCAATGTTGTTTTTATTGTCTGAATAGAAAGGAGCAGAACTGTGCTTAACTTGTCCCAAATTAGGGGTCACCCTGAGTTGAAAGGACTTCGCTAAGCCAGGGGCTAGAATGCCAGACCTTCCTATGAAAACAAAGTGGGTGGGGATAAGTGTTTTAGCCAGGAGGTGTGATGATCCTTAAGGGTCCCTGTCTGGTTTAACTTGTTCTTTTCTACCATTTAAAGACAGTGCTAAATAGGCTCCATTAGGAGCCTTTTGTTATTTAGTGTTTAAAAGAGCTGATAATCATTTCTGATGGGACAGTATCTCTACCCAGCCTCAGAGCTGACAATCAGTAAGAGCTGGATAGAACCTCAAGAGACTGACCTGCCAAGGTCACAGCAGACACAGGTAGCAGAAGGTGATCAGTGAGAGGAAGGGGGGCTTGTGGGGTAACTAGCCAGAGCAAGTGCTCAGATAGTAGATCAACCAACATGCTTTCTTCCCCGGGAGGGAGGTGAATTCACACAGATGCACCTCTGATCCCTGGTTCCTCACTGACCAAAGACAACAACTGTCAGTGGAGGGGGATGGGGTGAGGGAGCAGAGAGGGGCACAGAAAAGGAACTTTTGGTTGTAGAACTCAAGAACATCAGGCAGAAGACACTTCCCTACACACTCTGGGATGGGTGTCCTGCTCACAGTTTTATGATTAGGAATCCTGCTTGTGGCAATTTTCCTAATTAATGTCAGCTGACTTCAGTTCTGGAGCTTTAACACAGATATAAGAAACACAAGTGTGATACTTTGTACTCTATCTTTAGTAAAGATAAATAAAAATAAATAAAATCTGCTTACTTTTGCTAACAGACACAATCTCTTTTACTGCCATTATCTACTCTATTCTAGTCAATTGTTTTTCACTCCACTAAAGAAGTATTTACTTAATTTTTAAAAAAGTTTTTTTTTCTCTTTTATTACCAACTGGAATTTATTTTTCTAATTACTTTGGTATTCATGTTTACCTATCACAATCATGTATGTGACTCACTAACATTTGACTCCATCATTATTATTAGTATCAGACTTGGACTGTGCATTTATTTTCAAATGAATTTTAAGTTATTTTACAGATATAACTAAAAATGCTATTTGAAAATACGTGACCTTCTGCACAATGTCTAAAGTTATGTGTTTAGCTTTTGTTGTTGTTGTTGTTAAAACAGCACTACTAAGGTGAGTACAAGCTAAATTTATGTTCTAGAAGGATACTATTATTTGATTGTATATGATTGGCACCGCAAGCCTGGGAGGCAGGAGAAGTGTAGTGGCAACCGTGCCCTCGGGGAGGGGGCGTAGCAGAGATGAGCTGGGGTGGGGAGCTGCCGCACGGCTCCCCGGGCCGGAGCAGTGAGGAGCTGCCACGGTGGGGGGGTGCCTCAGGGCAGGGGGGGGAGCTGCCAGAGGGCTCCCCACCCCAGCTCATCTCTGCTATGCCCCCTCCCTGAGCACGCCGCCCCCACCGGGCAATGACAATAATTGCATGGAGCGGCCGCTGCGCTGGGAAAGGGAGTCTGAGCCGTACGTGTCAGCGCGCAGCTGGCAGCCCAGCCCAGGAACGCTGTAAAAAATATTGGGGGCACTGCTTTTTGGCACCCCAAAATCTTGGCGCCCTAGGCAACCGCCTAGTTTGCCTTAATGGTAGCACCGGCCCTGCCCATACACACTAGCTCACACTCCCTCTGTCTCTCACACTCCCCCCACACACTCTCTCACACACACACTCTCTCTCACTCTGTCTCTCTCTCACACTCTCTCTCACACTCCCCCCCCACCACATTCTGTCTCTCTCACACTAGTTTCTCACACTCCCTCCACACACTCTGTCTCTCTCTCCCATAGACACTGTCTCTAACACCTCCCCCCCCCCACCACTCTCTCTCTCTCACACACACCCCCAAGACACACTCTGGCTCTCTCACACACTCTCTCTCACACACACTCCCCCCCCACACACACTCTCTATCTCTCAAACACTCTGTCCCTCCCACTCTCCCCACACACTCAGTTTCTCTCTCACACACACACTGTCTATCACACTCCCCTACACACTCTCTCTCACACACCGTCTCACACTCCCCCACACATCTCTCTCTCTCACACACACAGTCTCTCAGACTCCCCCCATACACACACTCCCCCCCCACAGTCTCTCTCACAAACTCCCCGCCACATCCCCCCACACTCCTCCCACACACGCTGTGTCTCTCTCTCTCTCTCTCTCACACACACACACACTGTCTATCACACCTCCCCTGCACACTCTGTCTCTCTCTCTCAAACACACACACACACTGTCTCACACTCCCCCACACACATGCTGTCTCTCACACAGTCTCACACTCCCCCCCCACCACACGCTGTCTCTCTCACACAGTCTCACACTCCCACACACACTGTCTCTCTCACACACACACTATCACACTCCCTCCACACTCTCTCACACTGTCTCTCTCTCACACACACAGTCTCTCAAGTCCCCCCCCACCACACACACTCTGTCTCTCCCTCACACACACTGTCTCACACACTCCCTCACACACACTGTCTCACACACACACTCTCCTTCCCTCCCTCCCCCCACTGTGCACAACAGACAAGAGGTTCCCAGGAGCGGTTTGGCCAGGGGCACCTCCAACAAGGAGTGGCAGTGGCTGCAGATGGACGCAGAGCAGCAGTGGGAGGAGAGACAGGACACTCCTGCTTTAGAGGCATCCCCTCAGCAAGACGCCTTGGGTGGTAACCCAGCTCGCCCACCCCTAATGTCAGCCCTGCCTTGTCTAACCCAGTTTATGCAACTCTCCCTAGGGATGGTACTTCTCTGGAGCTGCTACTTGTCCCACAAGTAATTACTCCCCTGGTGTGTAGCTCCTGTAGAAGGTGGGGTAACCCTCCCCCATGCCTAGATTACAGTCCCCAGCCCACAAAGGTACATACAATATGTATAGAGGCCATGGATAAAAGGGACACACAAATACACAGAACATTCATAAAGTGAATTCAATAGTTCCCAAAACGTCACATGTGGCTGCAATATCTGCCACGCAGAGTTCACATGTGAGTGTTAGATGCTCTCTCTATTATCTCTGAATGGGGCTCAATGTGTGTCATGGGCGCCCTGGGTATAATGGTGCTGGCGGCCTGGCTCTCTGATATACCAAGGCCTTTTCTTGCTGCTCCAGCAAAGGGGCCTCCTCATCTGCAGGAGGGGTGGTGTAAAAGCCAGCAAGGTGTAAAGAGATGAAAACAGATCATCACTACACTGGCGATGGCTTCAAAGGTAAAGTCAGAGACCAGATAATGGAGGGGAGAAGGAGGCAGATAAAAAAAGTGAAGGAAACAGAGAACCAGTCATTGTGGAACTGCACAGGATGGGGTGGAAGGGGAGGGGGTGTCTCAGCATTCTCAGAAAGCCGGTTAAATTAGCAGGATGGAAACCACAGGAGGAGGGAACCGAAATGACCGAGTGGCTGTGGAGGCAACCCTGGGGGTGGAGGGGGTCACTATAAGGGGTTCACGGAAGGCACAGAATGAAAAAGCCAGCAAATATCCTCACTGTGAGATGAGGTCTAGCTCTGAGTCCTAGTCAGATGTGCATGAATGACACGTGGGAGAGTCTGGGATTCAGGACTCCTTCGTCACTGAAGAGTCTGATTTGTGATGTATACGGTCTGGCAGTGCAGTGTCTAGCAATTGGAAGTGTCTTTTAAATAGGTTGTGAGCCCTGTAGTGGTGCTCACTGTGTTCCATGTTTTTGAAGCTGCCAGAAATCAGCCAGAGCAGTAGGATGGATGTAGCGTCAAGGCCTGACATGATGATGTATAGATAGTAACCATGGTTACTGGGGACCCAGCTGTGCCCTGTGCTTTCTCCATGTTGCTGGTTGTTGGCAGGCTGAGCAGATGTGGTTTGTAAGACAGGGCAGTGATGCGAGATGGCCGCTGATGACCAGCAATACCAACAGCAGCAAACCCAGTGAGGAGGCCGGAGCTCCTACCTGACACCAGCCTGTGAACCTGTAGAGTGAGGCAGAGAGCGACGTAGCCGGGCAGAGCGGAGCTCACTGTGGAGCTGGGGGAGAACGAGGGAACCTTCCCCATCATCGAAGCTTGGTCTGGGGAACAGGAGAAATAACAAATCAGACTGTCAGTGAGTGGGATGCAGTGACAGTGCCACGGTTGTCGGACTTTCATAGCCCTGGTCCATGGATCAGTTATGTTTACATTAACGCACTTCTCAATATTCATAGACTAAGGTCAGAGGGGCCATTAGATCATTTCGTCTGATCTGTGCCATGGGCCAAACGCTCTCACCCATTTACCCCTGTACTCAGCCCAAACTTGTGTTTGACTAAAGCATCTTCCAGAAAGTCACCAACCCTTGATCTGAAGACAGCAAGAGACAGACAATTCACCACTTCCCTGGGTAGTTTGTTCCAATGATTAATCACCCTCAGTGTTACAATTCTGTGCCTTATTTTTAATTTTAATTTGTCCAATTTTAACTTCCAGCCATTGGGTCTTGTTATGCCTTTCTACCCTATATTAAAGAGAACTTTAGTACCCTGTATTTTCTCCATGAAGGTGTGACAGATGGGGAACTTTACTGAAATATTTTTATGAACTATCAGTAGGACTCTCTACCATTCCCCTTGGCATCGCTACTGCTTTGGGGGACAGAATTGCTTCTCTCGCTGGGACTAGGCTGAACAGGCCAGATATCTGAGATGTAGAGCCACTCAGAGTGTCTGGGCTGGAATCAACACACATCAATGGAAACAACGAGGAGTCCTGTGGCACTTTAAAGACTAACAAATGTATTTATGCATAAGCTTTCATGGGCTGGAGCCCACTTCTCAGATTCATGAAGTGGAAACTTCAGTGGGCAGATATATATACCCATGCAGAGATGGGTGTGTTATATTACTATGGCCTTGGCTACACTTGCAGATGTACAGCGCTGTGAGTTAAACCTGACTTCGTGCAGCTGAGTAGGGAAAGCGCTGCAGTCTGTCCACACTGACAGCTGCCCAGCGCACTGTCGTGGCCACATTTGCGGCAATTGCAGTGCTATTGGGAGCGGTGCATTATGGGCAGCTATCCCACAGAGCACCTCTTCCCATTCTGGCGCCGTAGGTTGTGGGAAGGGGGCATGGGTGCGGGGGATTCTGGGTCCTGTCCCAATGCCCAATGCCAGTGATGCTTCGCTTCGCATCCCAGAAATCCCTTTGTTTCTGTCCACCTTTGGCGCCATCTTTCAACGGTTTCTGTGCAGCGCGATCTGTCTGAGGGAAATGGAGTCCGAACTGCTAAGGCATATGCTGACGAGTCTCACCAGCACGTCACGTTTGGCTGTCAAACTATTTCTTAAGATCCAAAGTGACAGTGAGGGTGAGGAGTCCGACGATGCTATCAAGCCACATAATGCGTACGACACGAAATTGCTTGTGGCATTCACGGACATGCTCATCACCATGGAACGCCACTTTTGGGCTCGGGAAACAAGCACTGAGTGGTGGGATCACATCATCATGGAAGTCTGGGATGACGAGCAGTGGCTGCAGAACTTTCGGATGAGAAAAGCCACTTTCATGGGACTGTGTGAGGAGCTCTCCCCCACCCTGTGGCGCAAGGACACGAGATTAAGAGCTGCCCTGCCAGTGGAGAAGCGGGTGGCTATTGCAATCTGGAAGCTGGCAACTCCAGACAGCTACCGGTTGGTCGCAAACCACTTTGGAGTGGGAAAGTCGACCGTTGGAATCGTGTTGATGCAAGTTTGCAAGGCCATTAATCACATCCTACTCAGAAAAACCGTGACTCTGGGTAATGTGCAGGAAATAGTGGATGGCTTTGCACAAATGGGGTTCCCTAACTGCAGAGGGGCGATAGATGGGACGCACATTCCTATTCTGGCACCAACCCACCTAGGATCCAAGTACGTTAATCGGAAGGGGTATTTCTCTATGGTTCTCCAGGTGCTTGTGGATCACCGTGGGCTTTTCATTGACATTAACACAGGCTGGGCCGGAAAGGTGCATGACGCACGCATCTTTCGGAACACTTGGCTGTTCAGGAAGATGCAGGCCGGGACTTTTTCCCCAGAGCGGAAGATCACGGTAGGGGAAGTTGAAATGCCCCTTGTGATCCTTGGAGATCCCGCTTACCCGTTAATGCCGTGACTCATGAAACCCTACACAGGGAGCCTTGACAGCAGCAAGGAACGGTTCAACTACAGGCTGAGCCGGTGCCGAATGACTGTGGAGTGTGCCTTTGGCCGTTTAAAGGCCCGCTGGCGATCTCTGTATGGGAAGCTGGACTTGGCTGAAAACAGCATCCCCGCGGTTATATCCGCGTGCTGTGCCCTCCATAATATTTGTGAAGGGAAGGGTGAAAGCTTCACTCAGGCATGGACCTCCGAGGTTCAACATCTGGAGGCTGAATTTGTACAGCTAGAGAGCAGGGCTATTACAGGGGCCCAGCGCGGGGCTGCAAGGATTAGGGATGCCTTGAGGGAGCAATTTGAGACTGAAAACCAGCAGTGATATCTGGTGCCCTGCACGGCAGTGAAGTGCAGTAGTTCCAATCTTTAGGAATCAGTGTCTGCTTAGCAGACAAGCAGACTTGCAGTGCCTGTTTATTTCCTGGGCTAAGGAGTCTTTTACTTTATGCAATAATAAAGAATGTTTTCAAAGCCAAAGAATCCATTTATTGAAAAGAAACAAGGGGGTGGAGTGGGGAACGGTACAATCACAGATTCACGTATGTCCTGT